AACCTTCGTAACTCTACACGTATACAAGAATAAACTATTTGTATGCGCAGCCCAAAGTAACAGAAGATATTTAGCCGTATTTATTGAATTAAATTTGTGTAGGTAATTAATAGTCGCTATTTATTAACCATAATACCATTATTACAAACATCATGCTTTAGTTTCGTACTTACACGTGGAATAAAATATTCATTTAAAATAAAACTATATATTTTTTAGGGATTTGTGTTTCATTTTGTGAAAATAAAAATAAAAATAATATTCATTTTGTATGATAAATGTTAAAAGCTATGTGTACATATGTATACATCTAATGATAGAAAAGTAAACACTGCATATCAAATTCTTAATTAAATAATATTAAATTAATAAAGGCGGCGATACTGTTTTTGCACCCGGGCGGGCAACAACGGCAACAACACAGGGGACGGCCCTGGAAGCAGCAGTTCTTCGTTTCGTATAGTCTACATAGATATATGTATGTATACATATAGTTTATGTATAGTCTATGTTACCGTTTATATGTAGCTGTTCCACATGTGTACATATTAAAAATTTGGCATTGTATTTGAAATATCCGTTTTATGAATCACTTATACAACAGATTTTTCGTATGTTACGGTAAGCGAAGGAATACATTTACCTATGTTACCTATTTGTCACAGGCTAAAGTATCACTCTCGTCCATTTTTACGGTGGTTGCTGCACGTAACCCGTATTCGATGTCATCTGAATGCTCTTTATGCAAGAAATAATCGAGAAGATCCACTAATATTTGACGACGCGGTCTATTAAAGAAGTTACCGATGGTCTCGTGAACGTCTTCCATGCCGGGTCGCCGGCAAAGTATGTACCTAAAAAAAAAGATAATATTTATAATTATAGATTTGCTTTTTAGGCAAATATGTATTGGAAAGAAATTCTCAATTTTCGCGATTTTTTCTGTGTGGGGCAAGGGGTGTTTAAATTAAAACAAAAATATGGTCACATTCCTTGAAATCATACCTACAAACTGAGCTCTTCAGACAGATGGAGCAATTAAAATTAGCCTCACAAGGAGCTGTGACACTGATCACTGACTAGTATAGTGGTATACCATACCCCCGTTTCAGGTGTATGCGAGCCGCGGCGGGCAATGAAAGAAGCTGCTCATTTTTGTGTTGAAATCGTAGAACTTTTCATAGAAATAAGGTAGAAAGATGAATCTTTTTCAAGGTTAAAGCTAAGAGATTGCAGAATCGGGTAACAATGTGTAATCAAAGTGTATCAAATGCAAGTTATGACTTTGGAAATCTATGTTAAGTGGTTGAATTATTTCCATGACTTGTTATACATCATTTCCTGTAGATTCCGACAAGCTGAATTCAAATCTGACCGCAGAATATGTCTAACCCTTTAGGATTTAAAGAAAAATGGGATTTAAGTGAAAAAGTCGGCAAAAATCATGATTATTCTGGTTTACATGATTTGATAACAGTTTAATTTAAATCTAGTCTGTATATGTACATGCATATTGGCAACAAACTAACTTTGAACTAATTTTCACAAATTAATTTTAAGAAACTGTATTTTCTGAAGAAATTCAGGAACAGAGAAATAAATGATGACTTAAACCTAAACCCCCTTTAATTTCACACGCCGACTACAACATATTTGATTTTGTACAAAATCCCTGATAGCGAGTGCAAAAAGTGATAATGAAACCATCCGTAATTTAAATCTAATACGGACATTCGTAAGACTCAAGAAACGGACATTTCTAGAATACGCGAAATTTAAGTCTTGAGAACGTCTGTAGGACTTTCGGGACGGACGTTTTTAGAACATTCGAATAGTTTAAGTCTTACGAACATCTTAGGGATGTTATAAATGCACGTAGGACATTCAGATACTTATGAACTGGACATGAAACGGACGTCCTTTGGATGTACGGTGCTATCTCGGTATTTATATACAAAGTACATTTTTGCATGAAAATCTAAAAAAAGGGGAAATATAATAAAGGGCATGAATAGAAAAGGAAAAAAACAGAAGAAACAATGGAAAGAACTTACTTAAGTAGAACTGAAATCAATCCTTTGATTTCTGGATGCATTGTCAAATAAATTTCATTATCATTTCGAACGATTGCCTTTCTCAAGTTTAATTTCTTTTTTTGATGCTTGCCCAAAGCACCGATGTCATAATTTCGCGTACCATGAGCCGGATCTTTTGGATGAAATGCACGATAAACTTTTGAATGTTGATCCATTGAAATGCATCCGCTATTGATAGGAACTACGTAATCGGATGTCATGCGAGCCGAGATCATTGCACTTCACCTTCGATCACTGTGATTTTTCAATTGGACGTATTATAGTCATAACGAGAGCAGTTTGAAATGTTTTCTACTCTCATACATTAACTAAATCACTAAGCAACAAATTAAACAATCTTTTGCGGCTGCGTATAATTCTATTTTGTTTTTCGCGCAAAGTAAGAAAACGGTATGCGTATAATACATATATGTATAGGTATATTTATATGTATGTAGATATGCTAATAATGTACATAGTTATGAATAGAATATAGAAGATTGCTTTGATTCACCTTTTATAAAAATACATACATATAATGTATGTAACTAGAAAGTAATTTATCACGTAGATACATATGTCATTTGATTCTGCCAATGGAATGTCGCAGTGTGTACGTAGGCTTATGTATACGTATCTATCTATGTACATAATATGTATGTACGTATGTAACGTATATAAACAATATTGCGCACAGGCATTGGCATAGGTCCTATGAAAGAAAACAGCAAATCTAAAGATCATTATATTGTATTGTACATGCACAGTATTCTTAGATTCGTAAGTGTAAGAGTGCACAGTCTTGTATGTATGGTATGTACCTACACATGATAGGTAGAACTAGCAATCGACATTTTTCAATAGGGTGACTTTTGCTCAACGAAATCATCTTCTTCATGGAACTCATTGTCAGCAACGGTATTCTTTCACTCACTGGCGCAGTTGCAAATGTAACAAGAACAAAGAGGAAAGCAACAACAACAACACGGAGTAGGAAAAGTTTCGTTTGTTGGTGGAAATTTCCCAATATGCATACGTAACGGTCGTGAAACAATTCTAGGTAAACAATTCACGTTATTATATTGCTTTTCTCAACTCGTTCTCTCACCTTCAATTTCAATCACTAGTCTTCGAAGACAATATTATGCGGAAGCAGCGAGGTAGGAAAAAATAATAGTATACTTTTAAGCAGCGAGATTCAAATAAGTTATCCAGTGAGAGGGAAAAGATGCGTAAACTCTTAAGATAAGCAGGACATGGGTGGGGACGGGAATACCACGGCGAAGAGGACAACTCGTTTAGCATAAATGAGTGAGACGGAATTACTAAAGAAAAAAATTCAAAGGAAGGAAAATAAGGTGGAACATGTTGGCAGAAGTTAGTACGTGGTTAACTGCGGTATTTTTGATACAGGGGCAGATTTTACCGGAACGTATCTATTACGAGAAATGTCCGAAGTCCTGAAAATACAATTCGGAAGTTGTACGAGAATTATATTCTCGTGAAACAATGGGACGATACAGATGGCTCGACATACATTTTAGACTCGACCGTAGACACGTGATTACACAAGGTGCGGTGGTAACGTTACTTTATCTCAGTCGCGTCTTTGTGCATTGCATGCATAACAACACAGACTCGAGGGAGGAACTTGTACGAAATTGCTGTCTGGATAATTACAATGTCGTCGTAAGTGATCATCGATGCAACGCACTCGAAGATTCGAACGGTACGAGGACGCTGATATCGTACAGTATGCTTGGTAACGTGTCCACAATACCATGTTGTACAATCTGCGTTGAAAGTGAGTATTGTATGTAAGTAGTGTATTCCATAGTGTGCTCTGTTGTCTTCGATTAACCTACTGGCGACGATATTCGTAAGATGTGTAGATCATTATTGTGAAAGAGAAAAATTTTGTTTGCAATCGATTCATCCACCTGTCTCCTTCATTTCGTTCGAAAGGTATTGGTACTTGCATCATTGTACAGATTGTATGTACGTTCATATTTTTTGCCTGCAGTTTCAAAAGGAAAGATCGTCTCCACGGATTGCGAATTTCAAATTATGCAAAGAATCTAAAACTCTGTGCTAGACTTTACACAGGATGTCCTAACAAATGTATCGTACATATTTTTTTGTTAATTTTGATAGATAATTAATAAGTAGATAGATACTTAATAATATTGAATTGCTGTTGGATTAAAACTAGAGGAGAAAAGAGGGAAAGCTATAAAAGCTCTATACTCTATACGATATGATTTTTATTTAAAATCAATGAGAGCGTACGCGCGTACCTATTTCGCAAATTCTGACCGTTCTAAAGCCAGTTACGTATATGTATATAAGTATGTACATATTATCCCAATCTTGTTCGACTCTCCCATCTGCATTTGCATTTACCCTCGGATGATGAAGCGGGCAATACGTTGACGGTAGGTACTATACGAACGAGACTACGACAATGTATACATATTATTACATACATATATGTAGTTACGAGCTGCGTGATCAACAATTAGTTTCTTATTCTCATTCATGTCTACGATTCTGATTGAATACTGTGCGTGTCATAATACATATTGTAGTATGTGCCTATATATTTTATAAAAGTTTACTGTTTCATTATTATCCGATTTATCCATTACATAGTTGAAAAGCCTAGAAGAGAACACGTATTTACGAGTTTGATTTCCATACATCCAACAGAGTTTTAAAGACGCGATTGCAAAATGATATTTTTATGGAATTAATCGTACAAAATATGATGCTCGTCCTCCTTATCGTAGATCGATAAAAATCATCTACAATTCTGTTATTGAAAATGTTTGACACATTTTCCAATAATTCGAATTAGATGAACCAATATGTAGTACGGTGGAAAACTACCATCTTCGTTCGATCAATTCAGCCTCTGTATACATACATATTACATATACATACCTACGTACCGTTATGTTGGCTATATGTATACAAGCTACAACCCAGTTTTCCGAATCGATCAACGTCTCATTCCAAATTATCCGTGAAGAAAGCAGTTGTTTCACGTTTCGCGTCATTTCCCGTCATTTCGCGTTATTGTTGCTGCATTTTATGTATTCGGATGAATAGAAAAAATATGCTCAGGAGGTAAAGTTATATGCACATAGATTCAAAGTGAGGTACGGTTATTACATTTGAAGATGTAGCACGTATCGTCGTTAGAGAGACAGTTTATTTTTAATCATCGGAAAAAAGACTAAAGATCACGATCCGGTACATTTCAGAGAAACTCCAAGCAGAGGTTGAACCGGAAGAAACGAGAAGCAAAGAAAAACACGCAAACGTGGAAGTAAAACTGAACGCAAGCTGTTCTTGTTTCAAAACATGCTTTTCTGGTAACAGTAGTAACGGACAAGTTATTTGCATTTGGAAGGAAAGAAAGAATGGTGGAAACATCGGTGTTAACGATACTACCACGTCAACCGATCACGACAACGACAACGACAACGACAACGACAACGACAACGACAACGACAACGACAACAACGATGATGATGATGATAACGATTCGTGGAAAAATGAGACACATCGGTGGCATTGCGAGACCGTCTTCAGTTCATTAAAGTTTTGGGGTGCAAACATTGTGATATTCGCGAATGCTATTTATATTATTCCATACGCGGTAGTTGTGCTGATTTATTTCGTTGTGCCAGGCTTGAGCGCACGTGCGTATAACAAAGCCGTAATATCTTACAATGTCTCGCAAATCATTTTGAATGGAATTCTAATTGGTATGGGTGTTTGTGTTCTGTGTCACACGACGATATATCCTAATGTTTATATATATCTAGGATTAGCAATAATGTATTTAACAATCTCTTCGACATTTTGGCTTCTCGTTATTTGTATCGACATGACGTTGGTGATCACAAGATTTCGTTGGGCGTCACTCGAATCGAACTGTCAGCACGAGAGAGGAAAATTTTTCACGTATGCCATGTGGACGTGGGGAGGATCGTTATTGCCGACGACATTGGCTTGCGTCGCAGAACTATCTCCGCTTTTGCCTAAATCGTCTCCGATCAGACCAAATTTCGAAAAATTCCAAGACGGCGCAAATCTGGCAGTTATATTGTACGTCGCGAGTTTTCCAGCTCTGGCCTGTCTCGCGAACACTGTTCTCTTCTGTTACACGTCGTATAAAATGTACCTGATACAGAGGTCGACAACGCTGGCGACCGCAAGTAGTACGTTAAAAGTGAATACGGCCAGAAAGCGGTATTTTCTTTTCCTCAGGCTATATTTGTTGATGGATGCACCGTGGATTACGAGCGCGCTCGCTGCTGCTTTTACCGATCTTTGGGTGTTGAAATTTTTACGAATGCTTCAACCGATACTCATGTTAGTAGCTATATTGCCTCCGCGAACGATCACACGATCACGTATTCTCGCTTGCAGCCGGCTGCGTCGCAAATCGCAGATTCCCGCATAAAGTGTCTATCCGGAATCGCGTTGTCTCGCAGAACCAGCACTCACTTTGCGATGTGAAAATTTTCTCTGTTCTAATATAAGCGAGGCCAACGTCTATGTAGAAATGTCTAATTCTAAGTACAATAAGTACATATGTACATACATATAGGTAGGTACAGTAGATATACATTGTATGTATACGCGATACGAATCATCTAAACAAGGATGAGTTGAACTTTCTGCCAGATACAATCTCATACAATCACTTGCACGATTCTACGATTTCTACGTATATACATGCATATGTATGTATGTGGGTATGTACTATTACATGTATAGATACGTATATGTATACATTGTAAGTGCGGCCGTATCGATGATAACACGTACAAATGCATACAAGCTGATATCTTTAGCATTATAATTTCATAATTGTTAAACTTCATTTTCTTGGAAACGAAGCCTTGATATTTGAATTAACACACGTATATTTGTACAGTCGATTGTGCCCGTACCCTGCATGCACTTGTTCGTAATCGCGCGTATTCGGTGTTCGAAATTACATTTAATCAATCCAATTTTGTTACCTTCAAGAATATGTGTACATATGCATTTGTGTAAGTATACGTATATATGTATCATACATATGCAGTATACCTATCCTATATGTATGTGCACCGCACCCGCTTACAGCGAAACGAGTCAGTCGTAGTCGTAGGTATCCGAAGTCTGCACAAGCAATCGAAGCAGTCGATGCTCTTTATATGTACCTATCTAGAAGGAAATCCCTACTCCCGTGTATAATCTATGAGCAGTTTACCGCTCTGAAATAACCCTCGACGGTTCAAAGAAGGTGGCCTAGAACCCTGTCTACATAATTTCGTATACTCGTATGTATGTATGTATCTGTGTTTCTATCTGTCCATCGATCGATCTATCTATCTATCTATCTATCTATCTATCTATCTATCTATCTATCTATCGATCTATCTATGTATGTATACACAGATGTACGCGCATCGACTAGTTCACCTACATCGGATCGGATTGGATCATAGTGGACGCGATAAAATTACGCAAATTGACCGCCTCACTTCCAAGATCTTACTCCTTGAAATGCTCCTACAGTTACTATAATACAATACATCCACACATGCAACGAGATACATATATACAGATAATGTATGCCAACGACAACGCGGCGATCCATCTCCGCTACGATCGTTGCGCCGCTTACTGCAACACCTACATAGATTTTGTTACTCAATGGCGCAATGCTATCAATTATTAGCTTACATATTAGTATTAGCTGTCTCGAAATTCTACTCTTATAAATTTAAGAAAATGTATCGTGTTTCTTCTCGAGTAGTTCTTTCGTCCTCTCGTACACTCGACAAACAACATAATGTAATCCTGTTGTACATACTATACACATGTATGTATGTATGTATGTATGTATGTATGGTATATGTAAATACATGCATACATAAATAGTATGTATTTTATCGTAAGCTACATGTATTTTCATTGCACAACGATTTTCAATTTTTCGGTGAACAGTATGTTTGTCATTAAAAGATTTATTGTTAAAATAATGTTCATTATTTAAAAGAAGAAAGGCATATCGCATCTTACCCCGATATTTTCATCATTTTTATAAAAATATACTACACTTATGTAAACTTGAATATTTATAAAAGATGAACCATCGTTTATGGTTTCCTTTCTCTCAGATTATTCCTTCCTTTTTCACATTTTTCCTCTCCTTTCAATGGAACCGACATGATTTCATAAGTTCGTAGATACGTGTGTGTATGTACGCAGTGATACATACATTGTGTACCTATACTGAAAGGCGAAAAACAATCAGAGGCGAAAATAATTTTGGACATCTCCGAACAGTACTACCAGTGCAAAGCACATAAATCAACAGTCCGAACATACCGATGCGTTATACAATTTGACTCCGAGTATCCCATTGTATGATATTTCGTACGTCGCGTCGTCGTGTCGACCTGTAAATGTGTAAAATTACATCGATATTACGTCGGTACGTACCTAGTATAGAAAAATATTGCATCTTTTACTATCCAGACTATGCGTTTGTGCAGCTGGTTCGAATAAAAATTACGAATGTTCGGTACCAATTTCATGAGTTTCATTCCAGGCACTCGTGTTTCCTCGCAGTCTTTTTAAAAAAGAGCAACGCGTATACAAAGGATTCGATTCCTATGAAACATGCCGAAACGATCGATTACATTCACCTACATACATATACGTATACTCTACACTTACACAATGATACAGTGGGACCCCGTACACATCATCGAAGAAAAGTGGAGGGTGGGGTCAACTTGGATCGGCCGGTATAAAATCCACGCTACCAGAAAGCAACGACACACAGTTGTTAAAGAAACATCGCATCGCCGTTAACGCAATCGCGAGCACCATGAATTCCAAAGTAATTCTACATTTTTGTCTGTCTTTTTGAGTTGTTTCTTTGATATAGAAATACACAATTGTGATTTTTATATTGTTCTCCCTCCAAGTCGGAGAGTATCTACGTTAGTTCCTTGTTAAAGAAGCGAGACAAGAATAGTAATTTTATTTCTATCGAGAAACAGTCCGTTCAGCCAATTAACGTTATTCCAATTTTCTCGATATACGCAGATTGTCTGTTGTCTGGTCAGTTTCCTAAGTGTCGCCCGTGCTGGATTAATTGGGCAGACCACGGGAATACTCGCCCCGGCCGGAACTACGGTGGCAGCAGCACTTCCAGCGCCTGCCGCGACCACAATCGTCAGAACTGAAAATTACGATCCGAATCCTCAATACAGTTTCAGTTACAGCGTAGCCGATGGTCTAACAGGTATTTTGCATTTATTCGTTCGCCCCATCGCGTCTAACTCTAACTAGAAAAAATAATATAAAAGAAAACATCGGTAGGTACTATTGGTAGGAAATTACCGAATTGGTAGCGTGGATTCTGTGTAACTGTCGTACATGACAAGCAAGTTCGTAAATTTCACACGACCGAAAAATGTTCAAGGTGATAATAAGGCCCAAGAGGAGACTCGTAACGGCGACGTGGTTCAGGGCAGTTACAGTTTAATCGAACCAGACGGTTCGCGTCGCGTGGTGTCGTACGCCGCCGATCCCATCAACGGTTTCAACGCTGTCGTTCAAAAGGATCCTAGCATCACGGTGAAGACTGCCGTACGACCCGTGGTGGCTTCACCTTTACTCGCACGACCAGCCTCGGTAATTGCTGCAGCCGCGCCCACCGCCGTGGCTGTTCGTCCGCAGGTTTGTTGTTGTTGTTGTTGTTGTTGTTGCTGCTGATCCAATCTACGTCAAAGAGACGGGACGGTTTATCAAACTATCGGAAATGTTGATTGTGTATAGGCTGCCACGCTGTTAGGCGCGCCTATATTGAGACAACCGTTGCTGACGACAGGACCATCGGTGGCTACCACGAACCTATTAGCCGCTAACGCAGGATTGGTAGGACTCGGCGTGGGACTCGGGCTAAGACAAGGCTCGCTGTACGGTACGCAGGCTCTGCTCGCGGGTGCTGCTTACGGCACTGGAGGCATCGTTAAAGTTCACTAGAGGACATGCTGCGTGGTGATGCGACTTTACTCGGCTGGGCTTCATTCCCCTTCTTTTCGCGACGGTTTATATTACTCTGATCTTTTTGTAATTAGCCTTGTAACGCGATCATAAATTTGCCCTATCCGCGCACCTATCGGTAAAATCGATAACGTTGTCCATTTCCAACCGTTACTTGTTCCTTTCGATTTCTTTGATTACTCTCTTATCGAGTTTTGGTTGGAAGTATCTGCGCCGCGCCTGTCGCAATAATTCAGTCAGAGGTTCCTTCTAACTTATCAAACTATTTTCCATTTCGTAAAACTTCAACCTCTCGCATACCGATAAAAAAATGTGTTGTAACGTTCCGCGGCATCAGCAACAAGCACGTATCACGATATTACGGTATTACGGTAATGGGAAACAAGAGATACAGATTGCACCGATTGGTTCGCTAGCTGTCAGATTCAATGTTGCAGATGTTCTACAGAGTTTTAAATCGTATATACACTTGCTTATTTCGCGAGCAATGACTTTCTTATCTTTCTTTGAGACCAAGTAACACAATCGTATATCCCGCGACAAATACACGAATTACGTTCACTCGCACATTTCTGCTTGTACACATTGATTATATGAGCAAAGTTCACACTCTCAAAGGCAAATATACATGTATAAAGTCGCCGGGAAAAGTACGATAACGTATGCATTCTGTGACACGTGATACTCGTAAGATGCTGCATTTTGCCACAGACCGAAGAAAGTTCAATCGAAAGCGAGGCAAAACATCGCGTCTTGTACAATCATCGCAAGCATCCGTCGTGCTTACGAGACCACCAAACGTGAAAAGGTGTGGGCAAAGTAGGTAATAGAAGCGGCAAGACGTGCGCTATATTTTATAATTTCTATTACCGAGCTGTGGACTCGGTTAACGACACTGCGTTTCTTTTTTTCAAACAAGTAGCATTATCGTTTAAAACAAAATAAATCATTTATTTAGCAAACGTCCAACAGAGTTTAATATTTACATTAACCCGTATAAAAAACAACTATTATCGGATTATACTTGATATCACGATTTTTTACCGGTCAGGACTATTTTTCGAGAGAAATCAACTCCCGCTGCACCTGTTGCACTCGTGATTCGGCATTTGTCACATCGAATTGCAGGGCACTCAGCGGACACCACGCGATAAGGGGGAGGCTTCCTGAAATCGCTTATAAAATAACCAATTGGCAATTTTTAATATCAACTTATGTTAATAATTTGTGTGCGTTATGCAAGGCTCATTGCACGCGCACGTGCACGAGACGCTAGAGACAGTTGATACCCCTTGATTTTGTTTGACCGGCCAAAACTCGTGTACTCCGCTAAGTATGTAGGTACTATAATTCCACGTCGAACAAATGACGAAAATGTCACTGAAATGTTTATATCCGCTCGGTGTTATAGGCTCGAGCGAAATTCGGTCTCGAAAAACTAACGAAAGACCGACGGCACTTTCATCTCGACTTCGTAAAGTTTTACGCTGTATACTTGAAAACTACGGACTTGGTACGTTTCCATGTTCTGTGAACGATGCTTTGGAAATATTGTGGAGTACTGTGTACATGTTTCCAAGTTGTGCTCTGTTAGGAGTTGTTCCGAATTATTCACACACGTACAATGAATCTCGTGACAAATATTCGCGGCGAACAACGATGAAAGTAGGTAAGTAAATTTGCCCGTGATGAGTTTTCGAAACAAACGACAGAAACACACGCTAACTATTTTCACAAAGTTGTTCTCGTTTAAAAACGAATACGCTCTCTCGCATCGGTATACGTTGTACAGAGTGTTCGATTACTGATGTCAAAAACTTTCACGCAGTTCTTCTACCTGTCAGAATTACGTGAAAATCCAAAATGACGATGGGATGAGTGTCTAATGATGAGGAGATTGTGTTGGAGGCTTCGTTTTCAAGTTATTAACGATAAAAAATTGCACTCAAAAACGCCTGGAATCAGGTACTCTGTGTACAAGTGGTAAACATAGGGCGCGACAGCTACGGCGCGTACACCGACGCAAAACACGCCCTTACTTCTTATTGTTAGTCAAACATATGACAGGTATGTACATATATACATTTCCCTTGGTATAATCGTAAAATCTCCAGCTCGCTCATTCGCGACCGTTGGCGACGCTATCGAAGAACAGATAGTATACTATTAACCACTCGCTGTTTACACATTCTTATTACTTTTCTGTCCTCTCCATAGAACTCGAATAACGTTTCTTTAGTTTGGTGGCAGTCGTCAACGCGGACACATTTAATCGACGCGAGATATCCCTCGAATTTTTTCATAGTATTAATTTCATTTATTTATTATAGCTAGTTTTAGTTTAGTTTCAGTTATTTTATTCAGTGTTATTCTCTCTCTCTCGCTCTCTGTGTAAGTGTGAACTTTTTATCAAGAGTCGCAAGGAGATAGTCCATGTTTAAGTGCAGATGTTGTACCTATATACATCACTTTTTCAGCTACGAGGTAAAAGTGTATTTTCTTTTTCCGCAATGCTAGTGGTATCTTATGCTTACCGCTTGTATGCATATGCTTATTTCGATTTAAGCGTTCCTGACCCCACTTTATGTTGACTGTTAACAACTTGGAAGCAAAGCTCCCGACATAATTTCGTTATTCTCGAGTTTCGTTTTATTTTGGCACGTAGAATCACCGTTTCAAGTTTCTGACACCACTAGCTGAACACCCTTCATTTCGCCTATGTTTTATACACTATCCGATGTCTTACCTATAGGATGGTATTACAGAATATTACAACTATATGTATTTTAACCATCCGTATACGTATAGAGACAACCGTATGACCGCGAACGTCGTTTGATTGAGTGTTGCTAAACTTGCTGCAGAATAAAATTTGCTATACGTCGTTAATAAAGTAACGTACTGTGACCATATCCGCTAGAACCGTGACACTCATAAAATTGAAACTGTGTGTATTATTAAGAATTCTTTTACTGTCTTCTGTGAGGTAACCTTAGGATAACCGAGAAAAATGGTCAATCGAACAAGGGTAAAATATTTGCTGAAACTTTATTAAAATATGATTCTTTGATCACTTAGAAGTGTGTGTATATAGTATTTGAAAAATGCGCGCGAAAATCGTAAAAATATTACAAATAAAACGCAAGTATTACTAAATCGCAAAGAAAAATTTCAACGACTACACCACGAGGGAACCTTTGATACCGAGATCAGTCGAAGATACATATATTTGCTAATAACGGTCAACTTGTCATCATTTTACGTTTTTTTATCTGAATATTTGTCGGTTGATTAAGAAGAGCGAAGTAAGCATAGTTAAGTACGTACATATGTATGTATGCGTGACATGATCAAAACACGATCCATTGCATTACATACATCGTGCACTCTCTTATACCAATTGTAATTGCTAAAAATCCAATCCAGGTACAACGATGTCGTGATATATACAAATCAGCTATGTATGAACATACATGCATTCGTATACGCATTGTAAATAGATAGTGTTTATAAATATGTATACGCATGCATGCATTATGTCTGTACGTGTAATATATGTATCTATAAACGATAAGAGTATTTAACGTCACAGATTTCCAATATTCAGCTGAAAATTTCAATGGACTGATTTGGAAATTGAGCAACATTTCCCTGAAATGTTTACAGTGTTAAAATAATCTTGTACGCCTCTTGATCTACACTTATCCTATATCACATTTGTATTTCGTAAAGCATCGCCCTTCTCTTTCC